GGGAGAGGGAGAGCGAGAGGGGGTGGGGAGAGGAGGGGCGGGGGGGGGGGAGGAGAGGAGGGGTGAGGAGAGGAGGGGAGAGGAGAGGAGGGGTGAGGAGGGGTGAGGAGAGGAGGGGAGAGGAGAGGAGGTGGGGGACAGGGCAGACTCTGAAAATAAAAATAAAGGTGTTTCTCCTCCTCTCCAGGCCAGACATGTGATCTGTCCTGTCTCCACCGCCTAATGAAGACGTACGGCCTCGACAGGGCAGTTTCTCCTCCTCTCCAGGCCAGACCGCCTAATGAAGACGTACGGCCTGTGTGTGTGTGTGTGTGTGTGTGTGTCTGGAGAGTTTGAACAGTGACGTCCTCCTTAATAAATATCTGTGACAGTGAATGTGTCGCTGCTGCATTAGAAGAGTTAACTGACCAATTATCAAAGTCATCACAACGTGTGGCCTGCCCCCTACTGGCCTACAGCCTCTACTCCTTTTGCCCTTACCCCCTGTCTGTCTCATTCCCCTCTTCACCCAATCCTACATCTTCTCTCCTCCCCCCCATCCTGCCCCCCCTCAGCCCCCCATGGACAGATGGAGGTAAAGACGGAGAGAAGGGAGGGGTCGGGGGGGGGGAGGGGGGGGGAATACAGAGAGGGGAAGGGCGTTCAGGACAAATCTGGCCCGTCTCTGTCAAAATGCTGACAAGGACACAAGGACAAACTGTTTCTCCCCCCTCCCTCCCCCTCCCTCCCTCGTACTGTCACACACACACTAACAAGTCCAGAGATCCAGAGGGGGAGGGGCTAATGGAGGAAAGGCTGCGACTGTTCAGACTTGGGGGGTTTTTTTTTGTCCTCACCTTTGTCCATCAGCTGGTTAAACAGTGACACGTTGGAGAAGAAGAAGAGGTAAGCAAACATCTGGCTCTGGATCTCAGGGTGGACCTCGTAGCCCTGCATCAGCTCCTGGGCATTTTGAAATACCTGCAAGTACAAACAGATACTCACACCATGATACTACAAATACTTTAGAATAATACGTGTAATCAGTGACATCACATCATCTCCTCGGACATCAATGGACTGTCAGTCAAACACCGGTGTCCACCGTCCACTCCTGTCTGAGACGGTGGACGACCTCACCTGCAGGACTCTGCGAACGGGCTCCGGAAACCCGACCCCTCCCTTCCAGCAGGGCTCAGAGTTGTCCACCGGGAAGGGATTACAGTCGAACAGACCAGGTAACACCACATACAGAGCCTGGAAACACACACACACACACACACACACACACACACACACACACACACACACACACACACTGGTGACGGAGGAACTTCCTACTTTAATTTAGCAGCAGAATATTCTTTCATCACTTCCTGTTCCCAAACTCCCAGGTCCACACAGACCGTGACCTCATCACGCCGGAGTTTGTGCTGCCTCACGAGGTGCGTTCAGGTACTGCTGGAAACTTGAATATCCAATCATTACAACCGTTATCTTGTTCTACTTCAGCACAAACGACTATAAAAAAATTAAATAACATTTTTTTTTTTTTGGGTTCACTGGGTGTTGTGAGTGTGTGTACCTGGGTGTTGTGAGTGTGTGTACCTGGGTGTTGTGAGTGTGTGTACCTGGGTGTTGTGAGTGTGTGTACCTGGGTGTTGTGAGTGTGTGTACCTGGGTGTTGTGAGTGTGTGTACCTGGGTGTTGTGAGTGTGTGTACCTGGGTGTTGTGAGTGTGTGTACCTGGGTGTTGTGAGTGTGTGTACCTGGGTGTTGTGAGTGTGTGTACCTGGGTGTTGTGAGTGTGTGTACCTGGGTGTTGTGAGTGTGTGTACCTGGGTGTTGTGAGTGTGTGTACCTGGGTGTTGTGAGTGTGTGTACCTGGGTGTTGTGAGTGTGTGTACCTGGGTGTTGTGAGTGTGTGTACCTGGGTGTTGTGAGTGTGTGTACCTGGGTGTTGTGAGTGTGTGTACCTGGGTGTTGTGAGTGTGTGTACCTGGGTGTTGTGAGTGTGTGTACCTGGGTGTTGTGAGTGTGTGTACCTGGGTGTTGTGAGTGTGTGTACCTGGGTGTTGTGAGTGTGTGTACCTGGGTGTTGTGAGTGTGTGTACCTGGGTGTTGTGAGTGTGTGTACCTGGGTGTTGTGAGTGTGTGTACCTGGGTGTTGTGAGTGTGTGTACCTGGGTGTGGTGAGTGTGTGTGTACCTGGGTGTTGTGAGTGTGTGTGTACCTTGGTGTTGTGAGTGTGTGTACCTTGCAGCGTCTCCAGGCCGTGTGTGTACGCTGGTGCTCTTTGTTGTATGAAGTAGAGGATCTCGATGGAGTTGGACATCCAGAAGAAGATGATCTGCAGGTCTGGGATCAGGTCTGAGATACTGAGCAGACACAGGGAGGTGGGGTCCTGGCTGCACACACAGATGACGGTGGTTGGACACGTAAAGGACACGTAAAGGACACGTAAAGGACACGTAATAACACGCTGACACGGAGCCCACACACCATCTTCTCCGTGTTAGCGCCAGATGAAAGCTGATACTCACTGCTGAGCCTGCTTCTGTGCCAGCTCCTTTGTCTTCTCCTGGAAGGTGCACGCACACACACACACACACACACACACACACACACACACGAGGCAATTAAGCAGTCATTAAAGTTTCAGCGTGTGCGGAGGAGACGCTAACCTGCCCTCACCGTATCACAGATGCAGCACCTTTGGCCCTAACACAGACACCCAGAGTCGGACACCCGGAGTCGGACACCCAGAGTCGGACACCAAGAGTCGGACACCCAGAGTCAGACACCCAGAGTCGGACACCCAGAGTCGGACACCAAGAGTCGGACGCCCAGCGTCACACTCACTCGGACACCCAGAGTCGGACACCCGGAGTCGGACACCCAGAGTCGGACACCCAGAGTCGGACACCAAGAGTCGGACACCCGGAGTCGGACACCCAGAGTCGGACACCCAGAGTCGGACACCAAGAGTCGGACACCCGGAGTCGGACACCCAGAGTCGGACACCAAGAGTCGGACACCCGGAGTCGGACACCCAGAGTCGGACACCAAGAGTCGGACACCCGGAGTCGGACACCCAGAGTCGGACACCAAGAGTCGGACACCCGGAGTCGGACACCCAGAGTCGGACACCCAGAGTCGGACACCCAGAGTCGGACACCCAGAGTCAGACGTCCTGCTGCCCTGGATTCAGATAATGTCCTCGATATCCAACATTTTTAACCCATTTAAATTATTTTCAGCCATAGAAAAAAAAACTTGACCTAGAAAAGATGGTTGACTTTAACCAGGACTGATCATAGTTGGACTGATTATAATACCCTGATTCAACACTGAGTATTTGGTCGGATGGTACAATACGAACATGTTAGTCCGACTGTTATTTACTTGACTTTGACGACTGTCGAGTCCCAACTCGTGAGCTGCAGCCCTTTATTGGCACATCATTTCACTGGCATTGGTCTGAAAATGATTGGTCTTGGTTAGTCCATGAGCAGTGACAGGCAAAACAATTAAATGCTTCCACAAGGTGGCAGCAGATGGCTACTGAAAACAAAAATCTTTGTGCGTTTCTTTATTCAATTCCTGCCAGTGTATCAGAGTTGTGTTCAACTAAACAGGACCAGGTTTCTCACTGAGGAAGGAACTTGGAACAGAACATTATTGTATTTTATTGCGTTTTGGGACATATTTGTTTGATGCTGCGCTGTGTGATTTTTTTAATATAAAATATGTGCGTAGTGACCCCTAGTGGAAGAAAGTGGTGAAAGTGATTCTTCTTCTTCTGCTATGCTTTGTAATTTCTCTACTGTTTTCTTCTAAAACACTGTTTCTTCTTCTTTTTCTTTCGGCTTTGTCCCTTTTTTTTCAGGAGTAGCTACAGCAGATCATTGATGTCCATCTGTCCCTGTTCTCTGCATCTTCTACTCTGGCTCCAACTATCTGCATGTCCTCCCTCACTGCATCCATATATCTCCTCTTTGACCTTCCTCTCTTTCTCCTACCTGGTAGCTCCATCTCTAACATTCTTCTACCATCGAGACAAGACAAGAGTTAGTAGTTGAAGTTTCCAGCCACACCTGACCTTACGTGGTCGAAAACGTTTCCTTGACATGAGAGGACAGAGAAAACTCACCCATGCAATGCTCTGGATTCTACGGACAATCTTTAGCAGCAGTTTTCCAAAACTCCCTGGTGGGAATGTTGAGGCCGAGTGTTGTATGCACAGACACAGCAGATACGCTGGCGTCAGCTTATGGTCGTCTCCTGAGGAGAGACACACGTTTAGGTAAAGACGCGTGGACTGTAGCCACAGCTTTCTCCATACAAGGTGCATGCTGGGAAAACGTAGGAACATGTAAAACATTTTTCATCTTGAATCACAAAACACACCTCCAGGCTCGATGAGAGACACGATTCTGTTTAACAGCTGGTCCTCATGAGACGGGTCGAACTCCAGCTGTAGCCTTCTTTTCTGACCTCCAGCTCTTCCTCCTCCTCCTCCTCCTCCTCCTTCTCCGCCCGAAACGCTGATCGGCCTTCCAGCCGTTGTCCCTCCGCTGCGTGGCTTCACCAGCTGAGGTTTGAAGCTGCGTCTAGCCGCTGGACCTACGCTCAACACCTGCGCTGGCCTGTCCTTCAGGACAGAGCCGCACATTTTACAGGTCTGAGCCCCGCCCTCTCCTTCCTCCACCCCTGTGTCATAAATCTGCCCCAGGGAGCGAAGGCGTGCCAGGGTCTGAGCTGGCAGAGGCTTGGAGCCTGTGGGATCCTTGAACAGGAAGATGTAATGTGCTCCAAATGAAAGGAGGTCACCGTGACGCAGCGTGGTGGAGCGCTCACACCGGGAGAAGTTCACCAGAACTGCAGCGTGGAGGACGGGCTCCACAACGACACAGACGCGCTGGTTCTCCGGTTCTTCTATCTTGCTGTTGTTGACGTGGCGACGGGGGGCAGGAACGCGACGCAAGCGGCAGTGGAGGGTCAAGATGTCAGGTGAAAAGAGGCAAATGTTGGGGCGGGCTGACGGGGTCTCCTGTCCGACTGTATGTTGCTCTCTATTTAGAAGATAGACCAGGCAATCCTAAAACAAACCACATGATTAAAGTCACCCCCCCCCATTCCAAAACTCTTTTTCAAACCAATCAATAACTTTGCTTCTGTCTCACATTCCCTAGTGTTGTGCACCGTGCTAAAGTACTTCACAACCGGTCCTAAACTTTTCTGACCACCAACGTTTCAACTCTTCACCCAGGTCCTGTCTTCATTTTTACTGATTTTTTGAGATGATTTTCCCTCCATCTACCTGCTGATTGTATCCCTGCAGCAACAGCAGATGTGGTGACTGGTAAAGAGAGTGCCTCACTCCTCCTCCTCCTCCTCCTCCTTCTCCTCCTCCCTGACTCCCCTCCTCTTTTCTCCGGCTACTTGAGCTTACTTCACGTTCCCGGGCTCTTAAAGGCCCCGGCAGGGTTGAATAATATCGTTTGGGCTCCTCTGCTGCTCCCAACTGAAAACACATGAACAGACAAGAAGTGAGGCTTTCAGTCAGGCTGATAACAGAAAGATGAGTGAGGACGGCCCATCATCCTGGCTGACCTCTGACCCACCTGGTTAAGGCTGGTTTCACTGAGGCTGCGGCAGAACGATGAGTTGCTGGACCGGGGCAGAGTCAGCGTCCCTTTGGCCCGGTTCCTCTGGAGCTTACGAGCCTGAGCGTTAATGTCTACGGGGGCAGGGAGAGACGGCAGGAAACAGAACAGGGGGGGGGGGGGAGGGGGGGGATGTGAAAAAACATGGAGGATTAGGGAATACAAGAAAGAAAAGTTAGAGTGAATGAAGTGGAGACTTTCCATCTGACTCTCCGTCCACGTAGGCCTGTGACGG